CTCTCTCTCTCTCTCTCTCTCTCTCTCTCTCTCTCTCTCTCTCTCTCTCTCTCTCTCTGAACCTATTCAGCAGGGAAATACAAATAAAGCAAGAAGAAAAGTCCTCCATAAAGCTCTTTGTTCTGTAACACTAGTGTGTATTGGTTTGAAACCGCTGTTCACTTTGAAGACCATCCAAGGTGCTTCATTTTTCTTATAAATTCAATACTCTCGACTCTCCTCAGAGAGTGAAAACAATATTCCAAATATCAGCAGATAATAGCCAGACCACTATCTGAACCTTAATAAAAGTGTTAACAGAGCCTTCATTCCAAGCCCTTGAATTTCCTTTATTGAAAATCACTCAGAGAGCTAAACATGAAGGGAAATCAAAGGAATGCCTCTTGGGTTTCAGAAATAATGCCTTATTCATTGAGAAGCCAGGAAAGAAATTATTCTCAGGGTGGAAAATGCTTGGATGGAAAATCCACGGTCCCTTTATTCATCTACTTGGAACACACACACACACACACACACACACACACACACACACACACACACACCCGGGAATGGGAAAGCAATCCTAAAAGTTCCTTTTCCCTTTTCCTTTATTAAAGCTCTACTTGAGCTTACCTGGCTCCAAGCACAGGCAGATACATTTGAAAGAAAACAGCCTCTGTTCCCTGTTGGCAACACAAGGGGAAGCCCTTCGCGTACAGTTGCTCAGTCGCTTGACTTTGACCAGAAAAGGATTCAAACACAATCACAGGTTGTTTACGGTTCCTCCCAATGCTCACATTCAAGAAGAGCAGTCTGTTTAGGAAGGAGATGGCTCTAGAAATGAGACTTTGCACTTAACTTTTAGACGGAAAAAAAAAAAAAAAGCCAGGCAGTGGTGGCACATGTCTTTAATTCCAGCACTTGGCAGGCAGAGGCAGGCAGATCTCTGAGTTAGAGACCAGCCTAGTCTCCAGGACAGCCAAGGCTGCATAGAGAGAGACCCTGTCTTGAAAAAAATCCAAAAACAAAATACAAAAAACAAACAAACAAAAAAAACACCCAAAAAACAAACAAACAAACAAAAAAAAGCACCCTGTTAGATTTGGCCACAGGAAGTGGGAAATGCCACAGCCTGACAGGAGCCAGCTATGTGAACACTTTGTGAGGAAACTCAGAGTCCTCTTCATTCTTCACAGGAAGGAACTGGTTTTAGAACTGTGATTAGGCCTGACCACATTGTCTCAGAGTCTTCAAGACTCAATCAAGTGTCTTCATGATACACAGTTGACAGCCTCAGAAATCCACATTGAAAACCAGTCACAGGGACCTTTCCCACCCTCCTTCCCTTCTCTTTCTCAGGGGTGTCTTGAATCAAGCTGACCCAAAGACAACAGTGTATTCTAGAAGGGGAACAGGGGGCCTGGAAAAGTCCAAGGTGACTGAGCTCCTAAGTCATAGTGAACGGTAGTTTGAAATCAAATTTGCTCAAGTGACAGGTTTCCCTCTGTGCTTCTAAGAACCAAAGCCTCATCCATTTTTATTTCCTTTTTTAAAATAAGTAGACAACTCTAACTGAGTTGGGTCATCCGGCTCCATATGTGCATGATGGACCACATCCAGTCTGCAGATTTGGATGTGCACACACAAGCACATGCGTAGAGATGCGCTGATGAGTTGAACAGAACCCCCATGTCATTATCTGCAAAGCAGAGAAGCAGCAGCTCTCTTCCTACCCCACAGGGCACGAGGAGCAATGGGCAAATGTCCCTTCCACCGTCCGCCTCCCAGTGTTGGAGTGTCGCAGAGGAGGAAGCTTGTGCATACGGCTCTGGGGTAGATCCTCGGCACAGAAGAACATGAAAGCATGATATGAGCCATGAAGAGCTGGGGTTTACAGAGCTACCCACATTGCCAGACAGTCCCAGGACTCACAGTTAGGCATGGAAGGAAACCAAGAAGGAAGAGAGAGAGGGAGCAGAAGGGAGCCACTCCGCTGCAGGTGGCTCTGTGGCTTCTCAGCTCCATACTTCACCGGACGGGAAATAAAAATAATATAGAATTCCCGTGGCAAGGCTGCTTTTGGTGTTCTCTTTATTTGGCATATCTCTGACGGCAGATTCTCTACAGACCAAGGCACACAACCAAAGAATGGTATTCAACAGTATGAAAGAGAGGAAGTACAAATAGTTTGTGGTTACATATTGTAAAACCAGAAGTGGCAGAAGATAAGGTGTCCAAGGCCAGGAAAACCCTGTGTATCTGGCTAAGACGTTCATTTTCCAGCTTAGCACTGGTTCTCAGCTTGAATGGCATATAATAATAATGCAGATGGGGACTTGTAAGGAATGATGACCTTCATTTTAATCTCATTGGCCTCAACTGCCAGATTTTCATTTCAAAAACAGATTAGTGACAGTGGAAGAAGAACATGACCAAGATAAGTAGAATGTGTGTTTGTATGTGCACACATGCACGTGTGCATATATATGTATGTATATATACTCGGTTATTTCTAGTTTCTAAAATAGGAGTAAGTAGAGCCCAAATCAGGGTAGCAACACCAGGAAAGCAGTGTAGACTAGGAAAGTATTTGTGAGGCTGTCCTCCACCTGATGGTGAGGAAGAGGGAGAGTCTGCCATGACTTCTGGGTTTTCAACTTGAATGAAGCATGAACAGTACCTTTTGTGGAGGGAGGAAACGAGAGAAAGTGCTAGGTCAGCATTCTGTTGGTGGAAGTGGGGAGCAACAGTTGACAGTCTCGGTAGTCTCGTGTGGTGTGTTTTGTCTGAGGCACCTGAAGGATATCAGAGGGGGTGCCTTCAAGTCACCCCGCTAAGCTCCTGGGAGACTGAGTCTGGGGAGCCTTGACTCAGTGTGCAGAAAGATCCCCCTGACTGGTCTCGGTCACGAGGAAGATGGGGGTGGGAGGCTATTCAAAAAATGTCTGAGGGTTGCCTTTCCCTGGACAAGCTGCAATTCCTTCTTACACATCTGTCAAAGCAATCCTGGAGGGCCCGGTGCCCACATAAATGGAAAGAGAGGTGCTGGAATGTTGGTCCAAGAGGCAGGGAGGGAGGGGCAGCTTTGGAACAACAGGTCACAGCTGCAGACCACGGTCCTATAACCACACCATGCCTCCGACCACACAACCCACCAGACCCACCCACGGCACGAAGCTCACCACCTGCTCTCCCAATCAGCTGCTTCTCTGCAGTGGCTCTCTCCTAACCAGTTGATCTTCCATTCTTTGCTTTCATATGGAGCACAAAAACCAAAGCTAAAGAAAAATCAGGTAGCAGGGGCCAGAGAAGACCCCTAGAAAGAGAGCCCAAGACTTTGGATGAGCAAAGCAGAAAGCATTACCAGTCTGGGCTGGCAAAATTGTGTTTTCATAAAAAATTCAGGAATTCCACAGATCTGGACGAGTCAAGGTAAATCAATTCTACAGCAGCCC